CAACCATGTGGGAGTCTAGCACCTTAATCACCAGGATACCCGCTGGTCCTAACCTCCATTAATTAGTAAAGAAAGGTAAATCAGATGAACAATAATATATAATGTAAAAATAATTTCCTAGAGGAGACATGCATTCACCAGAAACAGAAAGAGTGAGCGAGGAGAGGGAGTGAGAAAGACCCCCGAGGGGGTGGCCAGGCTGCAATTTTTCTCTTTATTCTCCTCTCAGGATGTTGGGCATGCACACACGTACGAGCACATTCTTCAAGCAACCAGGTCTGGGACTCAAACTGTGCAGCTGGCCATGTGGATCCAGCCCCCTTAACCACCACTCCACTGACTCCCCTGCCCCATTTAAAAACAGTATTTGGTTAAGGGCACATGCGCTCACCAGAGACAGACAGAAAGAGGGAGGAGGGGGCAGCAGGTGGCTTGGTGGTTAAGGCACTGGACTCCCACATGGCTGATCAAGGTTTGAGTCCCAGACCTCGCAGCTTGCTTTCTCACTTTCCCTTTCTCTCTCTCTCTCTCTCTGGCTAAATAAATAAATAAAGTTAAATAAGTCTTAAAAAAAAAAGAAGAGGGAGGAGAAAGCGCTCCTAACGGCCATGGTCATAACACAATCCTTTCTCCTCCATTTCTCCTCCCTGTGGGGACTGGGGCACACATGCACGTGCACCTGGCGTTTCTCAAGCTGCCAGGGCCAGGACTTGAGCCACGTGTTTAGCCATGTGGGATCTGGCTCCCTTAACCACTAGGCCATGTGGCTGGCCTGAGAGATGTGCACTGTCCCCATCATATCAACAGAGGTGTCTGAGTGGCAGGCTCACCGCTGCGTGCTCTGCACGACATTCGTCCACACCAGGCAGGTCGGTGTATCCAAGCAATGTGATCATAGGATCCAGACAATCCTCCGACTCAGGAATTCCACGTCTACAAATTAAATACAACGAAGCAGCTAGAAGCAGAGTAAAAGATTTAGTTTCGTAAAGATTAAACTGCAAATGAATTCATGTGACTGGATGCCCAGGCTAAAACTCAGGCTTTAAGATTATTATTTAAATCTTTAATGAATTAGAACCCTGAAATCTTGTCACGTAGAGGAGTAAATGGTTTTCTTGGAACCCTGAATTCACTTTAAAGCCAGAGTGCTAATAGTTTAGAGAAAGCCAATCAAGTGAGTCCTTTAGATATGTGATGAAAAGTCAAGTGTCCGGTCTGTTTTTGAGGTCCACCTGTCCTAATGCTAGGGCCAGTAGCCAGTCTGCAATACAGATCATGTAAGGAATCCCCGGGATGTAATAAAAACATCCAGGGCTCATCAGCTTGGAACAACAATATTATTAATGGCTGCACACTGGTGACCCATATGAGGGCCCTTGGGTGTCCTCTTTATCTAGGGCACTCTTTCTGGGCCAAGGCTTCTTACTGAAATATAGAAGCAGGGCCTTTGGTAAAGAGATGCTTAGATTTTAAAAAGTGCTGGGTAAGCCGTTGTAGGAGCTGTTGTTCAAAGTCTTAATTGGTTTTGGTCTTACAGGAGGTGGGGCTGGGATTCTGCGTTGGCACCTTTTAAAAACGTGAGAGAGAACCTAACAGGGTCTTGACGTGACCATCTATTCCTTCACCCAGCCCTGGATCCCGGGCTGCACACGCAGGGGCTCCCCTGCGGGTCAGCCTCTCAGCCTGGCATTTTACTGGTTCACCACTGTTCAGTCCCCCTTACCATATCAACTTAAGAATAAAACGCCCGGGGCTAGCAGTGGCATGGTGGTTAAGGCGCTGGACTGCCACATGGCTGACTGTGGTTCAAGTTCTGGACATGGCAGTTGGCTTTCTCGCTTTCTCTCTGTCTGTCTCTCTCTCATGAGCCCAAGTGCCCTGCAAAAAATTTTTTAAAATAATAATAAATAAAATTAATAAAATTTCTTTTTTAAGAATTATTTTATTTAACTTTATTCTTTTTTATTTATTTTTTTAAAAATTTGAACAGAGAGGAACAGTGAGAAAGAGAGAGAGAGAGGGAAAGTGATAAAGCAAGCTGCCAGGTCTGGAACTTGAACCGCAGTCGGCCACGTGGGAGTCCAGTGCTCCTAACCACCATACTCCCTGCTGGCCCCAAATTAAATAATTCTTTAAAAAAAAAAAAGAATAAAACTCTTGGGCCAGCAAGTGGCGTGGAGGTTAAGGTGTAGGTTCCACATGGTTGGCTGCAGGATGCAAGTCCTGGATCTGACAGTCTGGAGATCACGCCGGATGCATGTGTGCATGTCCGAGATCCCAGAGGAGAATGGAGGAGAAGGGACTGTGGCATGGCCATCCTCCCTGGGGGTGATTTCTCACTTTCTTCCCTCTCTCTGTCTCTGTCTCTGGCAAGCACATGCACCCTATAGCAAAACTGGACAACAAAAGGAGAAATCCCCACATGCTCGCCAGTGTCATGCTCATCATGGGCCCAGGTGGAGACTTAGTAGGAAAATGCTAACGACGCTTCCAGCATTGCAGGGCGCCGGTGTCAACCCCGCACCAGAGCGGCCAGGCCTCTCGGGGCTTTCTTCAGGGGTGGGCCCTCACCAGACTAAGCACGCCTCGCCTGCTCCTCCTGCAGATTATCTCCAGTACTCCAGGGCCTGCTTCCTCATCTCTGTCCTCACCATGCTCCTGAGCCTTGGCTGGCTCTTCAGCTCTTGCCTCCCTAGGAGTGGAAGCATGACCGCCAACTTGGATCTGAAGGTATCCGTGCTCAGCTTCACCTCAGGTACGACCTAGACGGGCAGGGGAGCCCACACAGTCGCGGTAACAGTGGTCGGGGCTCTCGTACGCTTTCTCGGGTCCCTCTGCTCTTCTTCAGCGTCACACTGAGCTGTGGTTCCTCGCTGTGTAGGACGTGTTAGCTGACTTTCACCGAGGCAGAGGCCCGTCTCGCTCACCTCCATCACCCTCAGTTCTTACCCTTTTTGTCCTTTCTATACCTATGGCCCCCAAAGGCAAAAGCAGAGCTGGGGGTGGCAGTCAAGGCAGACCAAAGCCACTGCTGGGTTGTGACACCTTTCCTTCTGGTCCTAGCCACCTGCTTACTCCTCTGCCTCAGAATATTTCGGGCGCAGGTCCTCTGGCACACTACGGACGCCATACAGTCCGAGTTCCTGTGGGCCTATTATTTTGGATGGTGGAGTGACCTGCTCTTCACATGTGCTGGTGAGTCAGCCCCCTGCCCGAGCTGGCAGGATGGGGACGGAAATGACTTCTGGAAAGGGAAGTGGAGTCCAGGAGATAGAGGAACCTGCCTGCTCCCCTTCTGGACATTTATACATGGAGAGGCAGAGTCATATGGGGAAGAAAGCAGGAACTCTGGAATCCGAAAACCTAGAATTAATAACCTGTTCTAAAAACTAAAGTGAGGGCCTACAGGTGGCAAGGAGGTTAAGGTAACAGATCCCACGTGGTCGACAACATGGCAGCTTCAAAAATACGCTGGGTGTGTGTTCACGTCTAAAATCCCAAGAGGAGAGTGAAAGAGAAGGAATTATGGCATGGCCATCCCCCTTGAGGGTGATTTCTCACTTTCTCACTCTCTAGCGAGCACACATATCCTATAGCAAAAATCTCTCTAAAAAAATAAATATAAAAATAGGGGACCAGCAGGTGGCATGGTGTTTAAGGCGCTGGACACTCCCACATGGCCGAACATTGTTTGAGTCCCAGACCTGGTAGCTCGCTTTTTCACTTTCTCTCTTTCTCTCTCTCTCTAGTCAAATTAAAATAAAATGAATGAATAAAATTCAATAATTTAAAAAAGTCAATAAAAATAAAGGATGAGTCAGAATGTTAAAAGTCAAAGATTGCCCCTCTATTGAGTCTCACTTCCAGTTCTTTTCTTCCCCTAGGAATTATCTCTTTCCTCAATCACGTAACTTCCAGATCTCCTCCCCATGATGACGATGTCCCCGTGGCCCCAGCAGAGGCGCCACGGCTGGGCATTGGCCCGGTGACTGTGGATTTGCCTGCTGAGGATGAAGGCTCAACCCTCAAGATGGAATCTTAAGTGAGGGAGAGAACAACTGTCCAGTGAAGGGCTGGGATGGCGATGGGGACCCTAACTACTGCTTGTCTAGGGCAGGAGACGAACTGCCCAGTGAAGGGCTGGGATGGCGATGGGGACCCTAACTACTGCTTGTCTAGGGCAGAGAGAAGCTGAGTTGGGAGAGATAGCTCAGATTCTGGGAAACCCCCAATACCATGTCCATATTACTGAGGGAGACAGCATTAAAGCTGATGAGGTGTCTGTGTGAGTGGGATCCAACGTATGTATAATAGTCATAAAGAACGTGATGAAAACTCACGTAAGGGCACAGCCTGGTGGTTAAGGCAGGCTGGATCCCACATGGCCAACTGCATGGTTCGAGTCCCAGACCTCGAGGTTTGAGAAACACACTGGACACGTATGTGTGTACATGCCAAAACTCCTGAAAGGAGGGAGAGATGGAGGAGAAGGGATGATGGCATGACATTCCCTATGGGAGGTAACTGCTCACTTTCTTGCTTTCTCTGTCTTTCTTCAGTGGGCGCATGTCCCTTCTGGCAAATTAAAAAAGAAAAAACTCACTAAAGAAAAAATTTCTAAGTGAAAACATCAATGTTTAGGGTCCTGAATATAAGAAATTTAGAGACAGATGCAGTGTGTGGAATGGAGATCAGAGTTGTTTTTGTTTTTAAGATTTTTTTTTGCCCTAGAGTACATGCACTTCCCAGAGAGAAAGAAATTGAGACAGAGAGAGCGAGAAATCACCAGGGAAATAGATAAAGTTAAATAGAATAATTCTTTTTTTTTTTGAATTATTTTATTTAACCATATTTATTTATTTATTTAGATGTGACCAAGAGAGGGACAGAGAGAGGGGGGGGGGGGGGGAGGAAAGTAAGAACGCAAGCCTCCAGGTCCCGGACTCGAACTGCAGTTGGCCATGTGGGAGTCCAGCGCCCTAAACCAACAAGCCACCTGCTGGCCCCAATAAAATCATCTTTTTAAAAAGAATTATTTATTTAATTTTATTTATTCATTCATTTTCTTTAATTTGACCCAAGAAAGAGACTCAGAGAGAGAGTGAGTGAGAAAGTAAGAAAGTGAGCCACCAGGTCCAGGACTAGAACTGTAGTCAGCCATGTCGGAGTCCAACACCTTAACCACTACGCCATCTGCTGGTCCCCCCCAATAAAATAATTAAAAAAAATTTATTTATTATCATTATTATAGTTTTGACCAGAGAGAGACAGACAGAGAGAGAGAGAAAGAGAGTGAGAAAGCAAGTCACCAGGTCTGGGATTTAAACCATGGTTGGCCATGTGGGACTTGAGTGTCTCAACCACCATGCCACCTGCTGGCCCCTATTAAAATAATTCTAAAAAAGAAAAAAAAGAAAAAAGACAGAAAGGGGACCAGCAGATGGCGTTGTGGATAAGGTGCTGGACACTCCCACATGGCTGACCATGGTTCGAGTCCTGGACCTGGCGGCTTCCTTTCTCCCTTTATCTCTCTCTCTATCTCTTTCTCTCTCTCTGTCTCTCTCTGGTCAAAATTAAAATAAATGAATAAATAAAATTAAATAAATAACAATTAAAAAAAAAAGATGGAAAGTTATTTGTGAGGTTTAGATTGAAGTACTAAGAACTTCAGAATCACAAAGAAGGGGTCAATGGGTGGTATGGTAATTAAGGTGCTGGACTCCCACATGGCCAACTATTGTTCAGGTCCCGGATGTGGCAACTTGCTTTCTCACTTTCACTTTTTCTCTTTCTCTTGTTGGTAAGGACATGTACCCTATTAGGCAAATTTAAAAGATAATAATAAGAAATAAAATTAAACAAGTAATTCTTTAAAAAAAAGGATCACAAAGAAAGTGATGAAAAATGCATTAAAGGCCATTTCATATTAGTGCTCTGTGAGTAACTGGGAAAGACTGCTATGGGGTGTGGGGGTGCCCAGGCCACCAAGCCTTTCCAGATTTCCATAACCCCACAGTGCAACACCATAGCAGAAAAGAAAGCGCTCTCGTGGGGCCAGCAGGTGGCACGGTGCTTAACATGCTGGATTCCACATGGCTGACCGTGGTTTGTGTTGTGGACTAGGACCTGGTGGCTGGGAGACCACACTGGGTGCATGCATGTGCATGCTCAAAACCTAGAGAACAGAAGAGAAGGGACTGTGGCGTGGCCATCCCCCTGGGGGTGACTTCTCACTTTCCCTCTCTGTTTCCAGTAAGTGCATATGCTCTATGGCAAAAACCTAAAAAAAAAAAAAAAAAAAAAGAAAAGAACAAGAAATACTCATTTTTGTCCTTTCTACCCTAATTAGCCAGGCTGACTTTTACCAAAGATTTAACTTCCACAGGCCTAAGGTTCTTTATTGATTAGACTCTGAGATTCCTTCTACTGCTCATTTTATTTTAAAACATTATTTATGTAATTTTATTTATTTGTTCATTTATTTTAATTTGACCAGAGAGAGACACACACAGAGAGAAGGAAAGTGAGAAAGCAAGCTGCCAGGTCTGGGACTTGAACTGTGGTCAGCCATGTGGGAGTGTCCAGCACCTTAACCACCATGTCTGGTCCCACTCATCTATTTATTTTTATTTTTGTGGAGAGGTTTTTGCTATAGGGTTCGTGCACTTGTCAGAAGGACAGAGAGAGACAGAGAGACAGAAATTGAGAAATCACCCCCCAGGGGGATGTCCACGCTGCAATCCCTTCTCCTCCATTCTCCTCTTGGGATCTTGGGCATGTACGCACATGTGCCTGGTGTGAGTTTTAAACTGCTGGATCCAGAGCTTGAACTGCAGTCAGCTACATGGGAGTCCAGCAATGCAACCATTACATCATCTGCTGGTTCCTTTTACTTTTTTTTTTAGTCCAGTGTATTTCTTTCTTTTCTAAAAAATATTATTTAATTTTATTTCTTGTTATTATGTTTTTAATAATAATAGAGAGATGATAGAGAGATAGAGGGAAAGTGAGAAAGCAAGCCTTCAGGTCCAGGACTTGAACTGTGGTTGGCCACATGGGAGCCCAGCACCTTAATCACCACACCACCTGCCAGCCCCAGCCCAGTGTATTTCCTTTTCATTATTTTTCCCAATCATTATTATTATTATTCCAATTTTTTTTTTAAAACACTCAATCACTATTTCTCATTTTGCTTGTAAAAAGACTTTATCCATCATGAAATACTTCTCAGACCAGTCCAGTTGAGAATACTATACATGTCATTTGCTCTCAGGATCTCGGACAGGCGCGCACATGCACCCAGTGTGGGTTTTAAGTCACCAGGCCTGGGACAGCTACGTGGGAGAGCAGCGACATAGCCATTGCGCCATCTGCTGGTCCTGGGAGAGGGCGTTCGAATGATCTTACAGCCACCCTAAATTTCAGGCTTGTTGAACTCTTGCCAGTTCCCCACTGAGGCTTACACGGGCCACATGTTTTCATGTTTCTATGCACAAACATATCCTTTCTTCCCAGAACACTATTTATTTTTCCTCCGATGCTCAACTCAGGTCACACCTCCTTTTGGGCGCCCTCCATGTCATCCTTGTCTGAGCTAGATGCCTACCTGCTCGCTCCCCCGACCTGTAGCCCAGACTCCTATTACAGTCCTTGTTATCATGTCACAGTGTCAGGTAGGTAATGACTTGCATGTGTTTCCTCTTCAGACTGTGAGCACCCCGAGCTGAAATGGTTTTGTCTCATCTTGACGTCTAGCGCAGTCCATCACACAGGTAGAGAAGACTGACTGCTGCAGTAGCTAATAAAAACCAAGCCGGGGAACCCGCAGGTGGTGTGGTGGTTACAACGCTGGGCACCCCCACATGGCCCACCATGGTTCGAGTCCTGGACCTGGTGGCTTGCTTTCTTTCTCTATCTCTGCATGTCTCTGGTCAAATTGAAATAAATGAATGAATAAATAAAAATTTTAAAAAACACGCAGCCCTATGAAGCCCAGCAGCTTCCACAATCTGACAAATGAGTATGTCTTCAAAGGGTGGCTATTTTAGAATGGTCCAAACAGAGGCAGCAGGTGACATGGAGGTTAGGGTGTTGGATCCTACACGGCCAGCTTCCATGTTTGAGTCCTGGACCTGGGGGCTTAAGAATCACACCAGGTGCGTGTGTGCGCACGCCCAAAATCCCAAGAAAAGGAAAGAGAAGGTACTGCAGTGTGACCAGCCCCTGGGGGTGTTTTCTCACCACCTCCACACTCCATTCTCTCTGGCAAGTGCACACGCACCCTATACCGAAAACTTAAAAAGAGAGAGAAGGCCCAGATCATGATTTCTGTGTATACTCATGGCTGAAACACGACACGTTCCTACACCCAATAATGATGTAACTGTAACATAGGTCCTTTACACTTATACACTATTACTCCTCCCTTTCTCTTTTTTCAGCTGAGAAAACAGGCTCATACCTGGTTTAAAATGTGCCTCAGCTACTTACTTACCGAGAGGGCTTCGCAGCTCTGGAGCCGGGGTGCCTTGCGGAGCCAGTGCCTTGGAAAGCCAGTGAGTACGAACACTCGCTTTTGCGCAATATCCCTCAGACAGATGCTCTCCGTTTGCAACTTCCCGCGAACATTTGCTGAAGAAGAAAACACAGGCTTTAAGTCCCACGTGCAGTGTCCACATCCACTCATCTTTGCTTTATGTAAACAGATATATCAATCCATAACTATGGGATAACCTGTTTTTGTTTTTAATTTGGTAGTGGGTGTGAGCACTTGCTGGAGAGAGAAAGAAAGCAAAAAAGCACCTACTATGGGGCATGGCCACACTGGATCCCTTCTCCATCTCACCCTGCTTTCTGGATTTTGAGCATGCATGTGCCAAACTGCTGAGTCCAGGACTTGAACTGTGCTGTTGGCCTGGTGGGATCCAGCTCACTTAACCACTAGGCTACTCACTGGCTGGCCTGGGACTATTTCATTTTAATGTAACTTAGGTACAATGCAGCGATTTTAATGATTTTATTGCCCCTTCAAACTCTCTTTAAACAGGAATTTGCTCAGAACTTCAGTATTTGGGTCTGTCAAACCACATATCCAACATGTTAAATGATCTTTTCATGGGACCAGCAGATGCTGTAATGGTTTCGTTGCTGCATTCCTACGTAGTCGACTGTTTTGAGTCCCAGACCAGGCATACATACGTACATACCCAAAATCCCGAGAGGAGAATGGAGAAGGGACTGCGGTGTGGCCATCCCTCTGGAGGGTGATTTTTTGCTTTCTGTCTCTGTCTGTTTCTCCGGCGAGTACATGCATCCTAAGGCGAAAATCTCTCTCTCAAAAAAATGATCTTTTCATAAATATAAAATGTGAAGTAGCTCATCAAGAATTCTGGACTAGAAGTCACAGATCAGAAGCCCTCCATTATCACCTGGCCGATGATGTTTGTGAGGGCATAGGTGGAATGACAGCACTGAAAAACCGGTTCTGGCCTCATTGCAAAATAACCCTAAGGAGTGGCGTCTGGTTTCTGGAACTGGAAGAGGTGATGATGCCTTTTTAAATCATGGTGTTGTCTCCAAGGAAACAAACCAAAGAACCCAGAGAGAAACCAAATAAATCAATGAATAGCTTTCTCATTCCGGAAGGCTTCAGGGCTATGTGGACTCGTCAGGTGCTACTGTCTATGGGTTCCCTCGGATACCCCAATCTTCAGCTCAGAGACATGCACTCCCTGTCACAGGCTATTTTTAAAAAGGAATTATTTTATTTAACTTTATTTATTTATTTCAATTGGACCAGAGAGAGACAGAGAGAGAGAAAGCAAGCCTCCAGGTCCAGGACTTGAACTATGGTCGGCCATGTGGGAATCCAGCGCCTTTAACCACCATGCCACCTGTCAGCCCTGTCACAGGCTTTTATATTTATCTATTTTTTTAAGAGTTTTTTTGCTATAGGGCACGTGCGCTTGCCAGACAGAGACACAGAGACAGAAAGCGAGAAATCACCCCCCAGGGGGGATGGCCACACCACAATCTCTTCTCCTCCATTCTCCTCTCAGGATCTTGGGCACACACGCACACGCACCCGGTGTGAGTTTTAAGTCACCGGGTCCGGGACGCGAACCATGGTCGACTACATGGGAGTCCAGCGACATAGCCATTATGCTAACTGCTGGTCCCTATATATCTATTTTTTAAAAAAAGAATTATTTATTTATTCATTCATTTTTTATTTTGATCAGAGAGAGACACACAGTGGAGAGGGAGTGAGAAACAAGCCACCAGGTCTGGGAGTCAAACCATGGTTGGCCATGTGGGAGTGTCCAGCACCTTAACCACCATGTCACCTGCTGGTCTCAATATATATATCTATTTTTATTTTTTAGAGGTTTCTGCCTTAGGGTGTGCACATCGCCAGAGAGAGGGAGAGAGAAATAGTGAGAGAAAGTGAGAAATCACCCCAGGGGGAATGGACATGCTGCAATCCCTTCTCCTCTATTCTCTTCCTGGGATCTTGGGCACGCATGCACATATGCCTGGTGTTATTTTTAAGCTGTCGGGTCTGGGACTTGAACTGTGGTCAGCCACATGAGAATTGAGCGAGGTGACTGCTACGCCGTCTGCTGGCCCCTGTGCCGCAGACTCTATTGCCCGTGACCAAAGAGCACTGTATCATTGTGTCCAATCTAGCTGCATCCCCACATCAACCCTATCTTGTTGATACAGTAAGTGCTGGGACCCAGCAGATGGTGTATTAGTTACATTGCTGAACTCCCACATGACTGACCACAGTTCGAATCCTGGATCTAGCAGCTTGAAAATCATGCCAGGCACATGTGCATGCTCAAAATCTCGAGAGAAGAATGGAGGAGATAGGATTGCAGCATGGCCGTCCCCCTGGGAGGTGGTTTCTTGCTTTCTGGCCCTTTGTCTTTGTCTCTCTGGTGAGCACACGTGCCCTATAGCAAAAAATCTCTTAAAAAAAGAGCTGGGCCAGCAGGTGGTATGGGATGGTAAGCACTGAAATTCCCACATGGCCGACCCTGTTCAAGTCCCGGACCTGGAGGCTTGCTTTCTCACTCTCCGTCTTCCTTCCTCTCTCTCTTTTGCAAAACTCAAGTTAAAAAAATAAAATAAAATAAAATAAAATAATTCTTAAAAAAAAGAGCTAAAGGACCACTGGAGATTTGGGAGACAGATGGGCCTTTGTCCTAGAGAAACCACGTATCCAACATGTCAAATTATCTTCTTAGAAAAGGAGTGTCATGAAGCCCCTTCTTCCTCCCCCATGCAACCCTTAGGTGTTCATGGAGACTTAGAAGAATTAACAGGTAAGAACACCAGCATCGCATGAATGCCCTATTGGGGGGTGCCTGTCTCTCTCCCTCATGGAAGAAATAAACCAACTTAAAAAATGCATAAGCACCTAGTCTGGTCTAAAAAAGAGTCAGTAACATATTTGCTCACTCTCTACCCATTAATTCACCTGTTCACTCAAATCCATGAGGCAACATGATGACCTAGTTATACTGGGAAGCTGGGGCTGGCAGGTGGCATGGTGGTTAAGGAGGCTGGACTCCCACATGGCTGACCACACGCTGGAGCCCTGTACCTGGCAGCTTGCTTTCTCACTTTCCTTCTCTTTCTCTGTCTCTCTCTGGTCAATTTAAAAAAAAAAATAATGACAATGAATAAAATTAAATAAAAAATAATTTTTAAAAATAAAAGATATAGGACCCGCAGTTAGCGTAATGGCTGTATCACTGGACTCCCATGTAGTTGACTGCGGTTCGAGTCCTGGACCTGGCGGCTTAAACTCAGGCTGGGCGCGTGTGCGTGGGTGCCCAAGATCCGGAGAGGAGAATGGAGGAGAAGGGATTGCGGAGTGGCCATCCCCCCTGGAAGGTGATTTCTCACTTTCTGTCTCTCTGTCTCTCTCTTGTCTTTCTGGTGCCCTATAGCAAAAACCCCTCCAAAAAAAGAAACAAACAAACAAACAAACAGATATATTGGGGAGCATCATTATAAAGGTGCTTTATCTGCAAGGTAAGTCAGTGGGACAGATACTCACTTTTGGGGCCGGTTATTTGCCATTTTTGTTGTAGTATGGCATACATTTAAGGCCATGTCATGGGCATAGGTACACTATCGTTTTACACATTTGTTTTATTGCAAGATAGTATGTACTCCCAGTTCTCGAACTCTTGACCGCACACTGTAGATAACTCTTTCTATATAATCTCAGGCTCAGGCCAGCCCCATGGCCTGGTGGCTAAGGGAGCTGAATCCCACATGGCTGCCATGCAGTTTGAATCCAGACCCCCTTGGCTTGAGAAACACACTGGGTATGTGTGTGTGTGTGCCCCAAATCCTGACAGAGCAGGAGAAAAGGAGACGGGACTATGGTGTGACCACACCGCACTGTGGGGGATGCTTTCTCCTTCTCCCTCTCCCCTCCTCTCCCTCTCTCTCTTTCTGGCAAGTGTACTCGCTCTCTGGCAAAATAAAACCTCAGGTTCGATAATAAAGTCTAAAGACCCCATATTCTAGGAGAAAGACGAAGTAGGGGGTATCCTGAAAAAAGGGCTTCGACCAGAAATCCTGCTGTCCTATCCCCTCTGGACTTGTAGGACAGGCACAGGGCCTCAGTCTCCCTGCAGCCTATTCTGACAGCTTGTCACATGGAAGTGGTGTGATGAGATGGGTCTCTTGACAAGTCATACTTAATTGGTGTTTGTAACAATTTGAAGTACACAGATGTTTTAGAACAAATGCAAAGAATTCAGTTTATCAGTATCTCTATGCTTTTTGCTAAAATTTAATTAAATTTATTTGTAGAAGTTTTTGCCCTAGGGCACGTGTGCTCACTGGAGAGGGAGAGAGAGAGAGAGACAGAGACAATGAGAAGGAAGTGAAAAATCACCCCACAGGGGAGATGGCTACGCTGTAATCCCTTCCCCTCCATTCTCCTTTCAGGATTTTGGGCGCGCACACGCATACCTGTGTGTGTGAGTTTCAAGCCACTGGGTCGGGGACTCGAACTGTGGTTGGCCATGCAGGAATCCAGCAATATAATTGCTCCACCATCTGCTGGCCCTAATTTAGTTTAAAAAAAAATAATAATTATTTGTTTAATTTTATTTATTACCATCATTTAAAAAAAATGATGTATTTATTTATTTATTTAAATTTGACCAGAGGGGGACAAAATGAGAGACAGAGAGAGAGGGAAAGTAAGAAAGCAAGCCACCAGGTCCAAGACTTGAACTGCAGTTGGCGGTGTGGGAGTCCAGCATCCCTAGTCACCACAACACCTGCTGGCCCCATCATCATTATTTTTAAAAATTTGCTGCAGGTGCTCACAAGAGAGAGAGAGAGATAGACAGAGAGACAGACAGACAGACAAAGTGAGAAAGCAAGCCACTAGGTCTGGGACTCAAACCACGCTTGGCCATGTGGGAGTCTAGTGCCTTAACCACCATGCCACTTGCTGGCCCCTAAAATTTAACTTTAAATCAAATTTTTTAAAAATTGAATTAAAAATTTTTTACCCTCACCTCCCCCATAAATATTCAAAACAAAAAATGTTGCATTTAAACAGATTTTATAAACAAAACAACAAGAAGTAATTTCTTTCCATGGGTGGTGAGGACCATTACAGACATATGATTTTTTCGTGGGGTGAGCTGCAGAGTACCTGAGCTACCCAGTGTGCCTGGGACCTCTCCGTTTTAGCACGGACACTGTCTTGGGCCATTGGTACAATGGGTCTCTTTGGTGCTTCGAAATGAGCAAGGGCTTCCCCACAGCTTACAGTTCTATCTGTCCTTAGAGAAACCCCAGTGCGATTTTAGTTTCTATTTATCTTAAAAGCACCTGCGTATTCTTCCTGTTAGCAGCGAGTTCATGACCAGTTGGATTATAACCCCACTGATGGAGATTTGCTCCACGAGCAGATATTTATATAATAAACATACCATTTTTTTAACCTCACTAGGACATTGGGACAATGGGGTACCAAACTGGTCCCAAGGAGCCATCGGTTTGTCTGTTTTCTTTAAGGACCTGGTCTTGTTGTTGTTTACAGACTACTGTACTTCTACCCTGTAATCACCATAGCCGAGGGCAAGTCATTAAGGAAACAATCTATGTGGGTCATTCCTTGGCCAATTGGGGGCCAGAGAGAAGTTGTCCTACTGGTTTTCCTTAAATAGCACCAGAGCCTAACCTGAATCTGAAATAAGTCCAAAATATGACCGGAATGAATGTGAGAACCTGGTTATGAAGCTTTGTCATGAACAGGGACTCCAAAGACTCAGGAGCACTACCCTTCTCACCGTATTGATCAGGAGAGAAATCAAGAGATTACAGAAGTTTCTGAGAAAAAAGCAAAAATCCCCTAGAAAATGGGAATAATATAAGCTGTGTACATATAAGCACAATTTACATCAAATTTACTCAGAGGTTATCATCCAACTGGCTAGTTTCCCCAATGACAAAGGCGACTAATTGATACTTTTTAAAAGTTTTGATTTATGCCAGGTACTATGACAAATGCTTTGAATGCATTATTTCACTTGATATTCACAAATAATCCTGAGAATAGGAATTAAAATCTTCTAAAGTAAAGCTTTTCTTTCAAGAATAATTTTATTCATGATGATGAGTATTTTTCTAAGAGAGACTTTTGCTATAGGGCACATGTGCTCGCCAGCGAGAGAGACAGAAAGTAGAAATTGCCCCGGGGGGTGGGGATGGTTATACTGCAATCCCTTCTCCTCTCGAATCCTCTCTGGGTTTTGGGCACACACGCACATGCACCTGGTGTGAGTTTGAAGCTTCCAGGTCCGGGACTCAAACTGCAGTCAACCATGTGGGAGTCCAGTGACATAACCATTACGTCATCTGCTGGTCCCTGTCATTATTATTTTTTGAAATTTGACCAGAGTGAGAGAGAGAGAGACAAAGACAGAGAGAGAGGGAAAGTGAGAAAGCGAGCCATTAGGTCCAGGACTCGAACTGAAGGCGGCCATACGGGAATCCAGCAACTGAATCACCACGCCACCTGCCAGCTCTAAAATAAATCTTCAAGGCTACAGACAGCAACTGGAGAGGCAGAGGCAACTTCAGGTCTGTCTTCTTCAAGGTCTAAGCTCTGTACCTTTAGCTATGCAGCTTCTCAACACTGTTGACAAACTTTGGTAACGTTGTACCTCCAG